AGAAGAGACATTAAGCCGGGCATACAGGGTGATTTTTTCAATCATTGAACACAGCTGCAGATCAGTATGACAAAATCGCAAGGTTTCGTCGTACAGCGTGAGTTCACAGCTCACAATGTATGTTCTCAAACTGTGCAGCACAACACTCTGATGCGATCTACCTGCTCACACTACACATCTAAAAACCACATCGGACTGAGCTCCGCAGTAAGATGGCCTTACTCAAACTCGTCTATCTGGAAGCCAAATGAGTAGAAGAGGAATATGAAGCACACTAGAGGGAAATTAGTAATTTGTGTAATTTTGTGTCCTGGAAGCCCTAAGAAGAAAAGGCGGCTACGTATTTGGACAAAGAAATGGCTGAGCAAACGTTGCTACTGCGGTCTGTCAATTTACATGTTTGATTTTCTCCCGACCTCAAGATTCCTGATCGGGAGTTGGTTGTGAGAGGCTGATCATCCCTCGTTACCCCATGTATACTACACAACGTAAGATAAGGCAAAAAGTCGGGCCGATCGGAATATTCTCACAAGACTTGAAAGTCGCCCCAAAAAGGGCAAAAAATCGCACAGTGTATGTCCGGCTTTAGGAAGGTAACATTTACTTGAGTTGTTTTGTTAAATCAACTCTTTTTAGTGAGAAAATCAACCTAGATTTTATTGAGTGAAATAAAAAATGACTATTTGGAAATATTTTCTAAGTTAATGGCATTTGTATCATTTTGTTTTTGTTATATCTACTCTGAGTCTCTCTTGAGTCATGGAGTATCTCACACAGAATTTAATTTAGTTTTAAAGCTGAGAAGAATAGACTGTTCTGTTAGTCTAACACTTCATAAACACATACTTTTTTCCTTATGTATTTTTTGCATTGTCTTTTTAAAAGCCTGATGGGTATGAGTTCTTAATTTTTGAAGATTATCTCCCACCTGTGCTATCAGGGTGGACCTTTCATTTAAGGGATATATAGCTAGTATATTGGTTATTTCCAAGCCCTTATTATTTAATGTGATTAATGCATTTGGGCACTTTAGAGGTGACATATAGGAACGTCTCTGTAATGTAAGGCTGTATAATGAGCATTACTTCTTTTTCTTTAGTTTCACTCTTAATTGTCCATTCTCACTTATTATATATCTGTAAGGTCCTCCTTCATCTCATCACAGTTTATGTAAATCATCTACAACACAGCCATTATTTGCATTCTCAATTTTTTTGTTTGTACAAGCAATCTGGTGGTCAGTATCTGGGATATTAGTGGATTGGATCCAAAAGGTGTATAAATAAAATTAACTTTTTTTTAGTCTAAATGGAAAAGCGGTGTACTCTCCAGAAAAGCTTAACATTAACTCACCTGACTCTCCTTGGTAGTTACATGTTTGGACTTAAAGCACCTGGAAGACATCAAAAAGATGTAAGACAACTTGGCTGTATGACAAACTCAGAAAGGATCACAAAACAAATTTAACATGCATTAGTTAAATAACATGAATAAGATATAGTTGATTGTAAAATCAAAGATGGTTAAACATTTGTTGAAACTTCACAGTGGGAGCTAAACTTGTTGGTGTGTTTTCTACCTTTTTTCATTCTACATAATCCTGTGTGCTTCCTCATGTCACAAAACTGTTAATTAATGTACAGTCTTTTATCATCTTTTGGGTTTTTTGTTATTCTTTAACTCTGTTTATCTGCATGCTTTAATTTGCGTGGCATCTGTATTTCTCCAGTGTGTGACATTAAAGGATATTTCCACTACCATGTTAGAACTACTAGTTTTATGCAAAATGGCATACAGGTGTAAACAAGAGGACCAAAAAGAGATGGAGGGCAAAAAGAAAAGGTGTTTTATTTCCTGTCTTAGCAATCTCGGGGTGAGTTTGTTTTGTTATTTTTAACTTGCTGCTGTTTTTAGCATTGGAATTTTCTTTTGCTTCTGTCTTTTTTTTTTTTTTTTGCAGCATTTCTGAATGTTTTAGAGATTTCTATAATTTTTCTCTCTCAATCATGTTTTTAATGCTTGCTCCATGTTTCATTGTGTCCTTCACCTGCAGGCCACCGTACCAACGTAATTGGGCCAATACTTTTCGAAACTTTATTAGATGTATCGCTGCTAAGCTATCGCAGTGTTTGCCACATAACCACTCATTTTCATAAACATCTCAATGCTGTCATATACAATGTATTGTGTCTATTGGTGATTTTTCATCATTAGATGAAGTGAAACGTGATTGATTTGACTGTTACCAAAGACCAGTAGTCTGTGATTGTTTATACAATAGTGACCAATTTACTAAAAAGAACAGAGCCTACCTCTTTGGTTAACAACTGGAATAGATAGAGAGAAATATTTTTCTGTGGTTAATGATCAATAGCTGCTTAATTTACAAACCATGTTATTGACATTTACTTATAGTGAAGATATCTTGAATTTTAACAGCTAGTTCAATTGTCCAGCAACAAAGTGCCACAAACTGTCATTTTTAAGGATTTAACTAAAGATAATTGCTTGAGCTAACCCTTGATTTGAATCGCATTACTTAATTCTAACTCCCAGTTTGAGCTAATAATATATTCATAATCTGCTAGTAAAATTAAACAATGCATTGGATTTGTTTTTAATACATTTTTTCATATACATGGTCAATATACATGCTGCAATGCCAGTTTGTTTTAGATAACACTAGCTATGTCTAATCATCTGCTAACGTGTATTGGGTAAAACAGGGGTGCCCAACCAGTCGATCGCGGTCTACCAGTCGATCGTGGGCGGAGTTTAAGTCGATCGCGAGAAGTTTTACAATGTAGACCTTTTCATGGCTATGACAAAAAATAAAAAAAAGTTTTACAAAAAACTAATCAAATCATTGATCATGAGAGGCTAAAGTGTATTTTCGTAATAATAAAATAAAAAGTATGCAGGGAACCTTTTTTTATGCATGCTGATTTCTGGGCATAGTTTGCCACGGTTGCTAGGTTGTTACCAGGGACTCTAAAGTGCGAAGAGGAATCGGAAGAGATAAAGAAATAATGACATCTATCACAACTGATTGGACTCCATCTATGGTTTGGTGCACTGCTGGATTTGTTGCTCTGTTCAAGTTGTCTAAAAGTTTCCCGGATTTTTGGAGCTACCGCTGCATCATTCATCAACAACAGCTGTGCGGCAATATTTTAAATATGAAGCATGTCATGGACGTTGCGATGAAGATTGCTTGCTCTGTTTCGGCCATGAGTTTTCAAAGGTGTTTATTCCGTGTCCAGCTCGAGGAGGCAGTTGCAGACCACAGTGATCTGCTGCTGCACCCCGACGTCAGGTGGCTGAGTCGTTGCAGATTCTTCAAAAAGCTTTTTGAACTTTTGCCAGAAATTAAACAGTTTCTGAAACAGTCAACAACCCATTGTGCTGTATGTTACATGTTCACATCCACATAGTTTGTACTTAGTATTTTCCTATTTTTATCTGTTTTCCTGTTGAATTTTAATCCATCTGCCAGTTTCTCTGCCAATGCCCAGTGAAGTTTATTATTCTGAAATAGTGGACTTCCCTTCTCCTTCTTCCTGCTTTAAAGTGATCTTAGACTTTGACAGATTTTTATTTGTCATTTT